GCTTATGCAAATGAAGCCCGGGAAATTCAAATCCCGGGCTTCATTTGCAAGTGCGGTATGCCTACATTACCCCGCTAGTTCGAAATAGTGGGGTAGTGTAGACATACCCCACGTGTGGGGCTTGCAGCTCAGAAGTTAGGAATGGAAGTTTCCATCCTTGGAGCACACAGCCCAGTACAGACTTGAATCCTGCAAACGGAACCCCCAGATAGCCCTTATCAGCCACAGCCCACGCCGAACACATCTTCGTGAGCCACGTCCTGGAACAGTTCCTGAACCCCCTCCTCACACTCCCCTCAGAGCCTGGGCTTTCCTTCCCTCCCTTTTCTAACCGACCCTTAATTTGGTTCAAATAAGCCACTTTATTTAGCCCAGCGACCGTGCAGAGCAATACAGTGTCAAGGGCCTGCCAGGAACTCACCCAGACAGACCCAATCTGGGCTACGAGCTGCTATTTACCCACCAAACATTTTGTGGCTGAACAGAAATACCAGAGAGAGTCTCACTGAGATTTATTCTTTAGGTCAATATTTCTCACACCTGGGTGGTAAAAGTTTCTGTGCATGGATTGCATTTCTGCCCGGGGCGAAGGAGGCCCATGGACAGCTGTGTAGGCTGAGATTGGAAAAGTTGCCCAGTGCTTTCGGGTACTCATGTCCTGTTCTTTTTAATTCATTCATTTCTTTTCATTTGGAAAGTGAGGGATGTCAGGTCTTCTGAGCATGGAAACTGTTGTCAAACATCTTCTGTTTGCATTTTATCTCTGTATCAATACCTACATGGAAATCGGTGTCGACAGACAGAGGTGCCTTGCCTCTGACAAATATATGGACAGGCAGGAAATGCCACTTGGAAGGACACTTAGGGCACAGCTACACCACAGGGCAAAAGTCGAATTAAGCTCTGCAACTTCAGCTACGCCAATTGCCCAACCCTGCACAGAATTTCATGTCTTGTTTATCTAGCTAATGATTTAATGGATGTTCAATTAAGGTGATGGCAAAATATTTCACCTCATTTCAAATTTGTAATTGACAACGGAAGATCCTAATCAAGAAAGATAAAGTAGGTGAAATAGGGGTAACCGTGTTACCAATGAGTCAAATGGGCCATGTGTAAAACAAATTCAGTTCCTCTGTATTTAACTATCTGCTGTACTGTGACCTGTCACTCTCCGTGTCTGTCCGAAAGCAACCAATTTCAGAATCGCTTTTCTCAGGGACAGATGGATCTCCTTGCTTCACAGGCAGTAGAAGACATAGTTGAGCAAGGCTATCAGGACTGGGAATGACAGAAAATATTTTTTACAGCACCACAAGAGGTTCGAGGACTGGAACCACATAGGGCCATAAATCTCTTTTGGCATGTAATATATCTGTGGCAATATCTCTATTGATCTGAGTATCAATACTGATGTCTATATTTCAATGTTGCCTTGTGTCTGCAAAAAGTATGCATACAAAGGACATACAGTTCATCTGTATTTAACTATTTGCTAAAATGTGACCTTTCCCATTCCATACCTTTATCTGAAAGTAACCAGTTTCATAACAGCTTTTCTCAGGGGTTCGTGGACCTCCTTGTTTCTCAGGCAGTAGATAAGACAGGTGACCAAGGGTATCAGGACTGTGTACAATACACACAATATTTATTCATGATCGTAGGAGGGTTGAGCACTGAACTACAGGGGCCATACATCTTCTCTTTGCATGTAAATATATTTGTGGCAATATCTATACTGATCTCAGTACCTATAATAATATTAATATTTCAGCATAGCCCTGTGTCTGAAAAGAGTATGCACACTCAGAAAATTTCACTTGGAAGGATATTTAGATTCCTATCCCTCCACAAAATTTTGAAAGAAAGAAAGAAAGAAAGAAAGAAAGAAAGAAAGAAAGAAAGAAAGAAAGAAAGAAAGAAAGAAAGAAAGAAAGAAAGTCAATGGCCATGGGAAAAGAAATACATCAGTTCATCGCTATTTTACTATATTCTAAAATGGGACCGTTCACACTACAGACTGTGTCTGAAAGCAGAGAGTTTCAGAATAGCTTTTCTCAGGGACTGATGGATCTCCTTATTTCTCAGGCAGTAGATAAGAGGGTTGACCAAAGGGATCAGGACTACGTACAAGACTGACATCATTTTGTGCAGGATTGCGGGAGGGTTGAGCAGTGGAACCACAAAGACTGTCATTATGCTCACATAGTAAACCATAACCACAATGAGGTGGGAGGAGCAGGTGGAAAAGGCCTTTTTCCTCCCGGTGCTGGAAGGGATTCTCAGGATGGTGGTGATGATACAAATGTAGGTTGTCAGGGTAAACAAAAAAAACCCAATAGTGAATATTACAGCAAAAAAAAATATCAGCCATTGCAGAGTTTGTGTCTCGCCACAGAACGGATCTTTAACTGGTGCAAAATCACAAAAGAAATGGTCAATTTCTTTGGGGCCACAGTAAGTTAATTGCAAAATGAAAATATGTACCATAATGGCGTAGGAAATAGTGAATATCCAGCACCCTGCCACCATGTGGCTGCAAACCCTTCCATTCATCAGGACGGTATAGCGGAGGGGGTGGCAGATCGCTAGGTACCGATCATAACACATGGCCGTGAGAATCAGACATTCTACAGTGGAGAGGATTCCATAGAATTCGAATTGCACAATACAGTTCTGTAGAGAAATGGTTCTGTCCCCGGTTAGGAGACTGGCCAGCAGCCTGGGCAGGGTGGTGGAGACGTAGCAGATCTCCACAGCAGACAAGTTGGCCACGAAGAAGTACATGGGGGTGTGAAGGTGCGGATCAGTCACAACTAGCACAATGATGAGGAGGTTCCCAGCCACAGCCACAATGTAAATCACCACTAATAGCAGGAAGAGGACGGGCTGCAATTCAGGGCTGTTACTAAATCCTAAGAGGATCAGTTCCACGATGGGTGTTCGATTTCCATCTCTGACATTCTCCATAACTCGTTTCTAGAAACAGAAAAGCATCAGACATTCATGGAGCATGTGCAGGCAGGTTGTGCTGTTGGCTACATTCCTGAAAACCTGAGGATAGAACTGGGGGCGGGGCCGGGTGCCCGCTGAATCCCCCCTGTGCCCGGGGGGGGATGCTCTGGCCCTGGCTGCCCGCAGTGCCGCCCAGTGCCCGGCTGTGCCTCCTGCAGAGGCCGAGAGCGTCCTGGGTGGGGGCGTGTGGGGAGAGGGGGGGAGTGGCTGAGAATTGGGGGGCAAACAGGTGACAGACAAACCAACCGACAGAAAAGCCTCCCTGCCTGGCCCCCAGCTGAGCGGAGAAACGTCCCCCTGGCGCCAGAGCACTGCAGGGCCCAGCCTAGTCGCTTTGTGCGCTCCAGCCCCACGGCGTGGGGAGGGGGCGACGGTGGAGGAGCCCCACGCACCCAGGCCTTAGGTTCCCCACCCGCCTTCTAAGCACTGAGCATTTTAGGCCTGGCTGGACTAGAGAAGGGGGCACCAGGGGAGTTGCCGCTGAAGGCGCGCGGCCGCGCACAAACACCCCTCTGCCGCCCACCTCCCTTGCGGAGCCTTGCAGCGGCACTCGCCTTCCTGCTGGCCGGGGAATGGCGCGGTTGTTTTCCTGATCTGGTGGGGGGCGGCTGCCCCGTTGTGTCCCTGCTGGGGCAGCCTCGCCCCACCTCCAGCTGCGATTGGGGCTTCTGTTTGTTTCTGTTCATACAGTTTGCTGCAGTTTTCCATCCCCGAGGACCTGCGTGAAGCTGGTCCGACCAGAGATACGGGGATCGATTTTTAAGAGTAAGAGGTTTTGTTTTTAAAGCAGGGGTGAGGAACCTAATACCCCAGCTCACGTGAGTGTGGCCCTCGAGACTCAAGGTTCCCACACTAACGCTCTAGCTCCCCTCCAGATTGGTGATAGAAATGTAGCCGTGTTAGCCTGGGGTAGTTGAAGCAAAATGCAGGACAATGTAGCACTTTAAAGACTAACAAGATGGTTTATTAGATGATGAGCTTTCGTGGGCCAGACCCACTTCCTCAGATCAAATAGTGGAAGAAAGTAGTCACAACCATATATACCAAAGGATACAATTTAAAAAAATGAACAAATATGAAAAGGACAAATCACATTGCAGAACAGGAGGGGGATGCGGTGGGGGGGAGGGGGAAGGAAGGTAAGTGTCTGTGAATTGCTGATATTAAAGGTAGGGAGAGTGGGATGTTTGTGAGTTAATGGTATTAGAGGTGATAATTGGGGAAACTGTCTTGGTAATGGGTGAGATAGTTCAAATGTTTGTTAAGTCCTTGTTGGCAAGTGTCGAATTTTAACATGAATGACAGTTCAGAGGATTCCCTTTCAAGTGCAGATGTAAAAGGTCTTTGTAGCAGAATGCAGGTGGTCAAGTCATTGAGAGAGTGTCCTTTCTGGTTAAAATGGCAAGAAACTGTTTTTTCTTTGTGATCTTGTCTGATATCTGTTTTGTGGGCATTAATCCTTTGGCGAAGTGTCTGAGATGTTTGTCCAATGTACATAGCAGACGGACACTTTCGGCACATGATAGCATAGATTATATTTCTGGATGCGCAGGAATATGTGTTCTTGATCTTATAACTCACTTGGTTAGGTCCAATAATGGTATCAGCAGAATGAATATGTGGACAAAGCTGGCAACCCTTCCCTCGCAACAAACCCCGACCAGGGTTGGTATTAGTGTGGTATGTCCTGTGGTGGTTGGTAAGAATCATCTTGAGGTTAGGTGGTTGTCTATAGGAGACTATGGGTCTGTCTCCCAGAGCCTCTTTGAGTAGCAGGGGAGGTTTAGATTGGACATTAGGAAAAAATTCCTAACTGTCAGGGTGGTCAAATATTGGAATAAATTGCCAAGGGAGGTGGTGGAATCTCCCTCTCTGGAGATATTTAAGAACAGGTTAGATAGACATCTGTCAGGGATGGTGTAGATGGAGCTTGATCCTGCCTTGACGGCGGGGGGCTGGACTCGATGACCTCTCGAGGTCCCTTCCAGTCCTATTATTCTATGATTCTATGATTCTCTTCTGATTTCTTTCCTGAGAGGTCCCTGCCTAAGCATTGTTCACCGCAGTGCCTGTGGAGAGAGCCTGAAAGTGGTTATTTACCGGTACAGGAATAGGGGATATCTGAGTTGGCCTTTCTCCTTCTAAAGGTTACATGCTGCCAATTTTATTTCTTATCCTGTACTGCCCTGACTGGCTCTTCAGCCTGCTTTGCCTGCAAGATCAAACGCTGCCTTCTATCGAGGATGTCTTCATCCTCTCTGATAGAACGTAGGGTCGATACTTGGGCCTCGAGTCCTCTAATTTTTTCTTTCAAAATGGGGACCAGCTTGCACTTAGTGTGGATGAAATCCCTTCTTTCTTCCAGGAAGAAGATAAACATGGCACATGCTGTGCAGGTAAAAACAGCAGACCTATCACCATCCATACCTGCCTTCCTTCTGAGAGATTCCTCAGTTGTTATTAAATGCCTCCTTGAAGGGCAGGAATGTAGTGCAAGATTTTAAAGAATGGCGAGTGTATCTCACCCCCTTCCCAATTCCCTCTCTAAACTCCTTCTTTACAGCCCCTGTTCACAAGCTCCCTTGTCACTGACTCACTCCTTTATAAAGCCCTGGACTGCCTGAGAAGGGAAATTCAAATCCCGGGCTTCATTAGCAAGTGCGGTATGCATACATTACCCTCCTAGTTCGAACTAGGAGGGTAGTGTAGACATACCCTGGGGGATACCTGAGTTGGTCTTCTCCTTCTAGAGGCTACATGCTGCCAGTTCTCTTCCTTGTCCTGTCCTGCCCTGACTGGCTCTTCAGCATGCTGTGCCTGCAGGATTAAACGCTGCCTTCTATCGAGGAAGTCTTTGTCCTCTCTGATAGAATGTAGGGTCGATACTTGGGCCTCAAGTTCTCTAATTTTTTCTTCCAAAATGGTGACCAGCTTGCACTTAGTGCAGATGAAATCCCTTCTGTCTTCTGGGAGGAAGACAAACATGGCCCATGCTGTGCAGGTAACAACAGCAGGCTGATCACCATCCATCCCTGCCTTCCTTCTGAGAGGAATAAATACTTTGAGGTTTGGATTTGGAAATATCTTCCTCATGTCAGTGTCCTATCAGCCAATGTGGAGGACATAAGAAAAGTCAATCAATTGGAAAGGAAGAATGTTTAAAGTTCAAACATGGGCCTGTCTGTCATGCACCTGGAGGTGTCATTCCCAGCTGGAGTAACACATGCTAGTTTTGATCAAGCTCGTAAGGTAAAATGATCAGGGAGAACAGGGCTGCGGAGGCCGTGGTTTGAGACACACACCTGGGTATGTAGCTTGGATCTCAGATGGGATTGGGTTGGGTTAGCTAGTCTGTGCTGTGCAGACCACACTGCTGTGGTTAGCGGGAGAGTTCAATCAAAAGTTGTGTGTGTAGCTGTAACAGAGCAAGGAATTACTGTTTTGTTGCTGAGCACAAATATGCTCCATGAGACAAAAACAAAAAGACCAAGGAGTCCGTGGTGTGTATGAAGGCCTGTCCTGCTATCGCCTGTCCAAGCAGACTGGAATAATGTTAATTGCACCACTTGAGAGACGCAGCTGAGAAACAGATCAACACAGAAACCCCCCCACCAGAAATAGACCACACCAATGGTTAGAGAGATTGGTGGGTAAATTGCACCATTTTTATCTGGATTTACAGAGGCAGAACTGAGATCCAAAGAAAAAACCCATATATAGAAATGGAAGTGAAATAAACATGACAACTCATGACAAGGAAAGAAGAGTCGTTATTTTGAATCCAGAAGGGAGAAACTGCCTGGAGAACAATGAAAAACCGGGGAGATGTAGAGACAGAATGGGACCAGAAATGAGAGGGAAATGGAGATGGTTGATTTCTCCACATGTTATGAGCACTTTATGAACAGATCTAGCAAATAAGGAAGACCAAAAACTACTCCTAACAGCCTGGTGAGAGAGACGGGGAATGAGCAGTTCCTCACCCTGACGGAGGAATCCGGCAGACGGGCAGACTCTCAATGCACAGGTGCCATTGGCCTTGCAGCTCAGCTTTCTAGACGCAGGCTGGAGTGTCATTTAGTCTTGGTTCAAGCTGTTCCCCAGCTTATTTGGTGTTTCTCTGCTGTTTCCAGGAGTGTGGGGGAAAAAAGCATCCAATGAGCCAGCTCCCTGCCTTATATAAGGTGAGGATGGGGCGGGACCCTTTGTTTTCAGCTTGATTCCTAGACCAGTAAGTGGAAAAATACAGCGTCCCAGCATCATTTCTCCTGGTCCCCTGCCCTGGGAGAGTCACAGGAGTGTCTCTGGCAGCCTAACCTGGTAGGAGAGAAACTTCTCCTCAGGCCCCCAATGACTGATTCCCCCAATGACTCATTAACATGAACAGGCCCTTCCCAACCCCCTAGCTCCACATAAAGAGTCTTGCCCCGTGGGAGCTCCCAGATATAATTACATTGCACATACGGCATACAAACAGATCATCATTAGTAATCACTTCAGTTACAAACATGAGCAATGGTTACCAATGGGATCATCACAGTCAGAGAATAAAAACTTTCCATGTCACCTTCAACGATCTGATGTCCCCTGAAATGATTTGCTTCCGCAAAATGTCCCGCCGTTATGTGAGAGCCATGCAATGATTCCACCACTATGAAGAACATGGGGCGCAGACTCACACTATCCACCTACATCGACTTTTCCCCTCCATTGAACAAGAAAACCTCTTCTTCCTGTCCGGGTGCCTTCCCGAGAAGCTATTTCTCCTTTCTAACTGTAGTCAGTTTGCCTGTCCGGAGGGGTTCCTCCTCCTCCAGCTCATTGGGTGGCCAGTCCACCCCACGGCACTGCCCCTTTAAGGCCGGCCCCGTTAGTTCACTGGGCACGGTCCAGCCCTTAGTTCAGGGTGTGACAGTAACAAACCACCACGGTCAGTTTATAAGGGGTGGTCAGCC